TTCAGTTTCTGAAGTACGCTGGACACAAAGGGGCCTTGGGGTTGACAATTGACAGAGCAGGGGCTGTAGACTCTGGAAAGTCAGGATCAGGAAACCAGGAGAAGCCTGGGACTAACGTCAGCAGGGGCCCTCACAGCCCTCTCCTTTCCCATTGTCCCAGTGAAGACCTTGGATCCACCCTTTTTTTTTTTTTTCTGGGATGCTCTACAAGTTTAGAGCAGAGAACATTCATGCACCAAGCCCCTGATGGTCTGTACATTCATTTTTTTCTATCTGTCTCTCTCTCTGAGTCTCTCTCTCTCTGAGTCTCTCTCTCAGGTTTTTCAAGACAGGGTTTCTCTATAACTTTGGGGGCCTGTCCTGGCACTTGCTCTGTAGCCCAGGCTGGCCTCAAACTCACAGAGGTCTGCCTGCCTCTGTCTCCTGAGTGCCACCACTGCCCTGCTCTGAGTCTCCTGCAGCCCAGGCTGGCCTTGAACTTGCTATGTCACTGGGGATGACCTTGAACTCCTCGATCCTCCTGCCTCCTCGGCCAGAGTGTTCAGCTCACTGGAGTGCATTGCCACTCAGTTTACACAGACTTTACACAGATGTGGGACTGCTAGCCTGGCCTCGGGTATTCTAGGCAGGCACTCTACCAACCAGGGTATCTCCTGTACCCATTTGTCAACTGGCTTGTTAGATTGTTTGGAATTGGGTCTTACTGTTTAGCCCAGGCTTCTTGGCTTCTGCCACCTGAGTGCTGGGACTAGAGGCGAGCACCACCTGGCCCAACTTTAAAAACATTTTTAAACTCGGGAGGCAGAGGTAGGCAGATCTCTCAGTTTGAGCTCTGCCTGGTCACAGAGTGAGTTCCAGGACAGCCAGGTTTACACAGAGAAACCCTGTCATGGAGAAAAAGGAGAGAAAGCAATAAAAATGAGATCATACATGAAAATCCAATCTAAGACAGTGAAAGGAGCAAGTCCATGTGGTCTGGGTGGAGTAATGTGGAGGCTGGAAAGTCACATCTGAAAAATTCTGAGGACACACTTGAAAACCACCATTTGAGGGGCCAGTGTGATGGTTTATGTCACCATCATTGACCAAGCCTAACAACCTTAGCTTTATCCCAATACTCACATGTGAAAGGAGTGAACTGGATTTCAGAATTTCTCCTTCATGCATTCCCCTCGGTCCATAACACCTGTCTCCGGTCCACTAGAGAAGTGGGGGAGGGTTGGGGAGCAGAGAAGAAAGAGAGAGAGAGAGAGAGAGAGAGAGAGAGAGAGAGAGAGAGAGAAGAGAGAGAGAGGGCGCAGAGAGAAGCTGGTTAGATCTCCTGGACAGAGGAGGATACTGTAGTTCACTGAGGGCAAGGAATGAACCTGCAGTTACACAGCAAATTCCCAGAAGTCTACATCTTTCTTTTTCCCAAGGAAATCTGTCCTGCTTTACTTCAGAGGGACCCTGATCTGTGGCTGGGTCTCTAAACTCTTGCTGGCTCTATGCTGCCCTCGCTGCTCAGGAGCCTGGGACAGCGTCTGTCCTGCCATTCTCCCTCCCTCAATTCACTTCCCAAGGTGGCCAGGAAGATGTTGCTAAGGGAATCCGCTCTTGTTCTTTTCTTCATGAACCTCCAAAGGCTTCCAAGAGGATGGGAGAGTATCTCAGTGATTGATAGAGCCCCTGCCTAGAGTCCCCCAGTGAGGGGCTGGGGTGTGGCTCAGTGGTAGAGCCCCTGCCTAGAGTCCCCCAGTGAGGGGCTGGGGTGTGGCTCAGTGGCAGAGCCCCTGCCTAGAATCCCAGTGAGGGGCCGAGGATGTGGCTCAGTGGTAGAGCCCCTGCCTAGAATCCCAGTGAGGGGCCGAGGATGTGGCTCAGTGGTAGAGTTCTTGATTAGTATGTGCACAGTCTACCTGCAGTTCTACCTGCAATATAAATGAATGGACTTAAGGGAAAAATGGAAACTCCTGGTGCTTGGTACAGGTAAGGAAGGAGACTCTTCCCAGCTAGCATGAGCTGCCTTACCTGCTTCTCCCTTCAGCATTTTCCAAGCCAGCTTCCTCCACCAAGGATATCTCCACACTCTCTTCCTGACTGGCCTAGGCCTCCTTCACCCCTTCACAGCACTTGTATCTGGCTGCTTGTGTCTGTCTAGAACTTCTTGGGGGACATGGACCTTGAGTGTCATGTGGCCTTGCATGCAGTCGTGCTCAATAAGCACCTGGGTACAGAAGTCATTCCAGAAGCCGGGAGAGGGCATGCCACCCTGGCCAGCCCCTCTCCCATTATGGCTCTCCCTCTCCTTCTACACTGCACCCCAGGCATCGACAAGTCCTGGGGAGACCCGTGGGGAAGAAGTTGCGTGCTGGGAGATTAAAGGACAGGACCCATCTGCTTCCTAATTGACTTGGAAAGGTCAGGCTGTGTCCTGATCCCTAAGGCCAGTCCCCTGTGGGGGTCCCTAGACATCTACCATCCCCGCCCCAGAGCTGGAAACTTCTGGGCCCCTTGGAGATGGAATGGGAAGGGCTGGTTCCTGGGTAAAGAAACGGGAACCAGCCCAGTCCACCCTCAATCAAATCCTTCCACCCAGGCCAAGTCCTTACTGTTGCTGTTTTGTTTTTTGAAGACAGGGTTTCTTTGTGCAGCTTTGGCTGTTCTGAAATTCACTCTGTAGACAAGGCTGGCCTCAAACTCAGAGATCTGCCTGCCTCTGCCTCCTGAGTGCTGGGATTAAAGGCATGTGCTATCACCACCCTGTCCCAAGCCAAGTCTTATCACTAAACCTTTCCTGCTCTGTATCTGCCTCCTCTGTCCCCTCTTTTTGTTCTTTCTCTCTCTCCCTCCCTCTCTCTCCTTCTCTCTTTTCATCTCTCCCTCTCCTCTCTCTCTCCCTCTCTCTCTCTCCCTCTCCATCTCTCTTTTCATCTCTCCCTCCTTTCTCTTATGCTATCAAGGGGATCCTTTGCCTCTAGAAGTCTTAATTTCTGCAGAAGTTGGGTACGGTCTTTATCCTAACCACATCACACAAGGAAAAAAATCTTTGAAAAAAATAAATTATTGTCAGTAAAACATGCAGTATTTGGGGCTGGGTATATAGTGCAATTTTAGAATGCTTGCCCAGAGTCTCACAGTGGTTGCTGGGGTGTGGCTCAACAGTACAGTGTTTTTCTAGCATGCATGAGGTCCTGAGTTCAATCCCCATGACCCCCCAAAAGGAAGAGGTCTAGGCATATAGCTCAGCTGATGAAATACTTGCCTAGTGTGCATAGAGCCCTGGGATGAATCCTGGCATAAATGAGACCCTGTCTCAAAAGGTAAAGAGAAAGAAAGTAGTGGACTAGGGATGTGACTCAGAGTGCAAGGTGAGACCTGCATTGCAGATCCTCAGCACCCACATAAAAGCCCTTGGAGAGCTGCATGTCCCCTGAACCCCCCCCCCCCCCATGGCCCCAGGTCCCTGCTGAGACTGGAACGGGTACACAGCAGCAAACATTCCTGGCAGGCAACGGAAATGAACTTCCCATTGCCAATTTCCTCCCAGGGAACAGAGTCTGGTATCCACCCTGTCCTCAGCCTACCTGAGTCATAGGGAAGCTAGGCATTGGGCAGGGAGGCACGGACAGACAGACGGACAGCCTGACCTTTCTTCTTCCCTGCCTGACATCTGGCCACCGTAACCCCACCCCCACCCCCAAGTCGTCACAGAACCTCGATTCCTAGAAGTCCACGGTACAGTCTCACATGGTGCTCTTTCTTCCTGGTGCATATGGGGAAACTGAGTTCCAGCTGTTTTTCCTTTGAGTTAAAAGGTGTCCCCCTCTCTGAGTATTTCTTTCCTCTCATTACCATTCTCTTGTTTTTCTAGGGGCTTCAGATCCCTTTGGAAATCTGTCAAAAATGAGAATTTGGGTTTTTTGCTGTTGCTGTGGTTATTTATTTAATTTAATCTTATTTTTGAGACAGGGTTTCTCTGTAGCCCTGGCTGTCCTGGAACTCAATCTGTAGACCAGGCTGGCCTCAAACTCAGAGATCCACTTGCCTCTGCCTCCTGAGGGCTGGAATTAAAGACGTGCACCACCACACCAAATAGGACCTTTATAAAAGTGACTGTGGAGGCTGGGGAGATGGCTAGTGGGTAAGACCATTCATTGTGAAAGCAAGAGGACCTGAGTTCAAATCCACAGCACCCACTAAAAGCCCAGAATACCCTGTGTGTCTGTGGCTGCAGAGTTGAATAGTGGCAGGTGGGTGCTAGGAGCTGGCTGGCTCAGCAGTCTAGTGCAAACAGTAAGCATTGGGTTCAGACCTCAAAACTGAGTGTGAGTGTGAGTGTGGGTGAAGACACCAATATCCTCTGCTAGATCCCAAATTAGAACTCACCTTGGGCGCGCACGTGCACACACATACACTGTGGTTGGAGTGGCCCTTCCCCTTGCACACACACACACTGACCCACCATGGCTGGAGTGGCCCTTCACCTTGCACACACACACACACACACAAACACACACACACACTGACCCACCATGGCTGGAGTGGCCCCTTCACCTCTTGCCCAGCCCCAGTTGGAGTCAATGTTATCTTAACCTTAGTGAGTCCTTGTTGGGGAGGTGCATGCCCAAATTTTACAGCTGCCCCCTTCCCAAGCTCAGGTTCCTGCAGGAAGGATAAGTTCAAGTGTGATGCAATATTTGTGGGGGATAGGGAAGGTTAGCTTGAACCCCAAGCCCCTGCAGACCTTAGCTATTAAAATCAGAAAAAAATCCCTGGTCTCACAAGACACCCCTGCTCTCCAATCCTGCAAGATTCAGACATCATGGAGGGTTGAAAAACCAAGAGAAAGAAATGATAGGAGCCTCCCCATCACCACCGCTTAGCCCACCCACCACTTTTGTTTCCGAAGCCACTGGGCTGGCTCCCCCTCTTTCCCTCCACCGTGGGCTCCCAATCTCCCCCATTCTGAAGGCCCCAGGGGACCAGCCAGCTCCGGTCTGCTCATTAAAGCTGAAATATGATCAGCGTGTCTCGCTGCCCACCTGGTGCCTTGGCAGCAAGCGGAAACGGTGACGGGGGTGCAGTCAGGCTTCTCCATGTCCTGGCTGGGCCTCAGTTTCCCCATTTCTATTAAGGAGCGTCTCTCTCTCACCCCTACCCTGGCTGCTACGCCCACACCAACCAGCAGGAATGTGGAACTGTTAGAACTACCCTGCTGACATTCTAGAATCCAAAGGTTCTCAAGTCCCGAGGTTTTTATGGCCAGCCCTGTTTGGGGTCGAATGTTCTAACATTCTAGAGCCCTGGTTCTCTGCTTTCTGTTATTATTATCCTCGCTTTTGCCAGCACGCACCCTTGTCAGTTTCCAATATTCCAGGCGTCTCCCGGCCCAAGATTCTGAAGTTCTATTGTTAGAACCTTCTATGATTTCAAAAAAAAAAAAAAATAAAATAAAAAAAAATAAAACACACGCTATGACTTTCATAATCTATTATTAAACTCTGGGTGATTTTTATCTTTTTTCCAGCAAATGAATACACGTTTCCCTTTTCACTCTTTGCAGAAATGGGAACGCGTTGTAAATAGGTGAACCCCACTTCCTCTTTTCTCCCCGTTTCTGCCCTGACTTTAAAAAAAAAATTCTCAGATCGAGCAGCTGAAGGTTCACAGAGGCCGGGCGTGGGGTCAGGATGGCTGATCATCACCTTCAACTGTTCCCCCCTCCCCAAATGATATTCTCCCACCTCAGGGAGGGAGTCTAGGAAGCCATGATGCTTCTGACCCCTTGCTCACGGCCTGGCCTCGTCCCTCCCTTTTCGCACCAGCTGAGTTATTATTTGTCTAGACACAAACCAAATTATAGGCCCTGTCCTGGTTGAACCGTGAGTGGGCTTGAAGGGAGGGGGGTGTCAGGAGACGGGTGGAGTTAATCCCCTCGGTTTGTCTCTTTACCCCGGAAACTCCTCCCCCAAGCCCAGCAGGCCATCTCTGGTCCCTCTCCCTTTCCACCTGCAAGCCCTCAGAAATACCTTTTGTGCTCCACCTCAAACTCTCTCTTTTCGCCACCAACCACCCAGACCCAAATCTGGCATCGCTCCCTACTCATTTAGTGGAGGACCTCATTGCCCGAATTAATCCGATTTAGCGGTAGCCCAAGAATCCAGGTATCCAGATATGGCCAAGGGAACCCAGGTCTCCGGATATGGGCTACTGCTGGACAAGAGTCCCAACCCCCGAAGCTGGCAATAACTCACTTCTGCTCTAGGGCCTCAGTTCCCCCACTTGTAAAATGGAAGGGCATGGCCTACATGGTCCCCACGGGTCTTTTGTAGCACTCAGCCGTGAATACCACGAATCAGCAGGTTGTCAGCACCAATCTGCATGGGTTGAAGGGCTGGACCACCACAAGGGACTTTGGTTCCCTGTGCTTGTCTCAAAGGGTCTCAGCATCCTAGGTCCCACCATTCAAAGCTGGAAGGCAGGGTCTCATTCGGCCCAGACTGACCTCAGACCAAGGTTTCCCCCACCCCAGTCTGGGTTACATGTGTCACTACAAGATTTTTTTATTTTTATTTTTATTTTTTTTTGAGACAAGGTGTCGTGTCTTATCCTCCTGTCTCTAGCTTCCATGTGCTAGAGTAACTGGCAGGTGCCACACTCCAGGCCCCAGGGCTCCTGCGTGGTCTGAGTTTGGGAACCCTTCCTCCACCTGTCTCATCTATGGATTCCCAGGAGGATCCCAGCGGTGCCCAAACCTGAAGACAAGTCCAGTCTCAGAGACAGGGATGGTAGGGAGCCCTTTTGGTAGGTTGGTGTGTGTGTGTGTGTGTGTGGAGGGGTGCAGCTCATTAGGGGCTCTAGAAAGACTGCTGGGGTGTTCACCATCTTTTACACCAGTGCCTCCAATGCACATCTAGCTTGACACACACACACACAGACACACACACACAGAGTTTGGATCCTTCCCTTTCCCTAGTTGAGGGGTGGGGTACAGAGTTCAGTCCCAGGGAAGGGGAGTGAGGCAAAGCAGGAAGGGGTTTGACGGAGACCCAGCCAAATCCTGGAAGGGAGGAAGTAGCGGAGGAAGTCTACCCCCCCAAGCCAGGAATTCCTGAAACTGGAGGGTGGGGTAGGTGTGACCTCAGAAGCCACGGGTGACTACAAAGAGGGCACTGGGGTCATGGTGTCACTCAGAGTCCATTTGCCTTGGATTGCAGTCCCACTGACCCCTACCCCAATCCTAAAGGGCCTCACTACCTGAAGGAAATAAGTTCCGCGATGTTGTAGGATTCAGGGAGAGGCGACAGATAGACCAGGCAGGCTGGAGGCGCCAAAGGAGCGTGAGAGTGGGAACACCAGCGAGCCGGGTGGGGGAAAGGGTCTCACAGAAATACGATGGATAGAGAACTGGGGATGTGCGGAGAGAAGGAGGGGTCCCACATAAACGGGGGTGCGAAGGCCAGGGTTGGAGCAGAAGGTACCCAGAAGCAGGCAGGGAGATCCTAAGGAAGTAGAGCCCCCTGGATTGTTGCTGAAGAACACCTACCTACAGCCTCAACATTTAGGGGGCTGAGGCAGGAGGATGGCCAGTTCAAGGAAAACCTGTTAGCCTGGGGTTGTCCCACAAACGCCAGCGGGTGGAACGGGTGTGGTGACCCACACATATAATCCCGGTTTACTATGGGAAGCTGAAGCAGGAGGATTGCAGTGAGTTTGTGGTCAATGTGGGCAAGAAAGTGAGCTCCGAGCTAGAATTGTTTGGTGATATCTGTGTGTGTGTGTGTGTGTGTGTGTGTGTGTGTGTGTGTGTGTG